TCCTGTAATTGCAACAATATATAATTCTATAATCTATAATCTATAATCTATAATTAATAATTTTTAATTTATACTTGTATTGAATAATGGAATTTAATTACAGGAAATGGATTAGCAAAATCATTTAGCAGTCAATAGAAATGATGACTGTTTTGATTTACATTTCTTTGCTTAACCACTATTAACATAAAAGTGTCAAATTGCAACGAATTGATGCCAAAATTGTGGATCTAATAAATAATTGCGATCCAAATTTTTAACATCAATTTGATCCACTTTAGTATCAATTTTGATGCTTTTCAAGAAAACTGTGACAAGAATTTTGGATAGCTAATATAAACAATTCTAATTCGAAATTAAAATTAAAATTAATTTCCATTTAGTTAATAGGGAAAAAATCCAAATATGAAGTTTATTCCCTTTTTGTATTATTATAGTAACGAATATCATCTCCCGATGATAATATAGAAATAAATTATAAATATCTACATATCGTCTGACAATAAATTTAATCAAGAATCGCGTTTGCGGAGAATTCTAAATATATACTCAAATTCTAAACGTTTCACTCTCCAATATCCTAGTTATCATATTGTAATACTATATTCAATGTTTCAAATGTGTGCGGTCTTAGTATCACAATACAATCAATTACTGTCTTTACTTTTATCTCTAAATTTACATTCGTGTCCTCTTGTCTGAAAAGTCATTTAAAAATAAATTCGTCAAGTGTATTATCTATATATTCTCTCTTCAGATTAAAATGGTACCAAAGTGATACCAAACTGATACCAAATTGATACCAAATTGATACCAAACTGGTACCACATTTGTACCAAATTGATACCAAATTGAATCAAATTGAATAAAAATGGTACCAAAATGGTACCAAATTGATACCAAATTGAATAAAAATGGTATCAAATATTTGGATCACAATTTATTATCTAATCCATATTTTTGGTTGCAATTGGATATACAAAAGCAGTATGATCATAAGACACAACATTCAGTTGTATTCTTTGCGAGAAATAAATTGAATATTAAGAGGAGAAAAAAGAAATTAGCATTTGAATAAACTTGAGCGCGATGAAGTTTATTTTTGGAGTCATCTTTTGATTTTGAATAAAATGCACTTTATGCATTCTGGTCTGCGACGCCACTGCATGCATAATTCCGCGTATCCTTTCACTATATATGCGGTTTGAACTACTACAAGGAGTATAATATCGAGAGGGATCAGTTCGCGAAATACGAGTCAAGGTGCATATTCTCAGCTCCGAGGAGCAGCACTAATGTCTTGCATTAAAATTTTTCAATCGCAGGATAAGGATCGACTTTGAAGATAAATGGAAGGACATAATGATGACGTGATCGAAATTTCTAATACGCATCACGCACATAATAGTGCAGAAAAAAATATATTTTAACTCATTTATATTGGAAAAGAAAAATTATTCTTTCAACAAACCGCATACATCTCTGGTTCTTTAAAATTAGTACTGCGCGTAGAATTTGGTTCTTCAAAATTAGTAATGCGCATAGAATTTGGTTCTTCAAAATTATAGAATTCTGTGTATAGAATTTCGGTTCTTGAAAATTAGAATTCCATAATTAATTCGAATGGAATAGTTTGACTAATAAATAGTAATTTCTATTAGTTTATTAGTAAAATTTAGGAATTCGAAAGCAAAATTTCAGTTTTGGGTACAGTTGAGAAATTGATTTTCAATTCTCTTGTTGTGTGCGCTAAATTCATGAGCGCCGTTTAAGGGTATAAAACTGCGATTGCGATCCAGTGTTAGCTGGATGCGTCATACCTTGTTGGATGACTTTTTCTATTGGAAGACATTGCGGAGAGATTACATTCACGATACTTAATCTATTCTCACAACGGAGGCTATAGATGAAGATTCAAGTATTTCTAAGGAGCTATCTAGACTCTATTATGACTCAAAATTATCTTACTTTTGATACCCATTTATTGCATTTATACGCATCTGTCGCAAATCAAGTATACTTTATAGAAAAAGAGCTTTTAAATTGAAAAAATCCAGAAGAATACAAAAAAATTATAGCAAAGATTACCTGTGTAATGAATCTCAAAGATAATTTCAATTATCTCTAAAAATCTGCTAAAATCTGCTAAAATCATCAATAAAAAGAAACTGCTACTTGAAAACAAATTTATGGTTTTCAAGAAACTTGAGAATCATCTTTGAAATTTTTATTTTTGGTATCATCATCTCTGGATTCATCATCTTCGAGATTATCATCCTTCAAATTATCATCCTTGGAATGATGATGATTAAGATCTTTATTGTTAAATTAACATCTTTAAGAAATTTTTTATTAGCTTTTCTCAAGAACTTTGAAATCATCACCATCATCAACTTTAAGGTAATAAATAGATAACATAATAGATAATCTGATAATCTCATTAAGGTAATATTTTTAAAGATATGATCCTCTCAATGATGATAATTTCCAGGATGATAATCTTAAAGATAAAGATGATCATTGAGATCATCTTTTTTAAAAACATCTTAAAGATGATGTGAATAATCTCAAAGATTTCGAAAAGCACCAACAAAATGATGTTAAACTTGATTTCAGTTTCAGAGATGCTAATCTCTTTGATAATCTTAGAGATGATTTTAAACAAAAAAATCAACAAAATAATTTTGTTGTTTAAGATAACAATCGCAAATTTGATCTTAGAGATGATGATTTTGAACAAAAAAACCAACAAAACAATTTTAGAGCTGTTAACTTCAAAGATGATAATCTTAAATTTGATGATCTTAGAGAAAATGATCCTAGAGATATTAAAACCCATAAATGATGAACCCAGAGATGATGATAATCTCAAAGATGATGACCTCAAGCTTATTGTTCTCAATGCTGATAATAATTATTATTACAAATATTATTGTAATTATCAGTCCCAAGTTAACCATACCAATGATGATGATAATGATCAAAAAGATAAACTCAAAGATGTTCTCAAAAATAGATCAAAGATCTAAATAAAAAATGATCTCAAACATAGAAGTCTTAAAGATGATATCTTAAAAGTAACATAATCTCAAATTGTTCAAGATCATTTTGCTGAGAAATGCCATTGGTTATCATCATCATTATGCCCAAGAGCACAAGATCCTTTAAATTGATATTAATTATTCGAACTTAAATCAAAATTCAAACATCCAGAGAAATCTCCGTCTGAATTTTGATTTTTGAAATGTTTGCAAATCTGAATTTGTAGATAGTAAATTAGATCATTTTCAATATACTGAATTAATGATTCGATATCAACAGGATCTGATTCATTAAATTTATTAAATTTTTGACTAATGTTTCATCATCATTACTGATTGTAAACATAAAAAAGATGTTGTTTTTAAAGATGATAGTTTTAATAATGATAATTTCAAATTTGATGATCTTAGAGATGATGATTAAAAACCAAAAAAGGAACAAAACAATGTTGTTCTAAAAGATGCTAACTTCAAAGACACTATAATATCAATTTTGTTTATCTTACAGCTGATGATTTTAAACAATAAAACCAACAAAACAGCGCAGTTCAACAACAGTTCTTAAAAATGATAATTTCAAATTTGATGCAATCGTAAAGATGATGATTATAAACAAAGAAACGAACAAATCAATGTTGTTCTTAAAGATGCTAATTTCAAGTTTGATGATTTTAACCAAAAATCCCAACAAAACAAAGTTGCTAACTTGAAAGATTTAGTAATACCAATTTTGATGATCCTACATTGTAAATAAAAGGTTCTAAATTAGAGCTGATTTTTGGTATTAAAATAGAACCAAACGACGATTTAGTACAAAAGTTAGTACTAAATTAGTACCTTTCTTTTTACAGTGTAAAGAGGATGATTCTAGAGATAATAAACCCAAAAGAACATGAACCCAAAGATGATGATAATACCAAAGATGATGATCTCAAGTATATTGCTCTCAATGCTGATAATAATAAATTGTAATTATCAGTCCCAAGTTTAACCATAACAATGATAATGATGATCAACATCAACAGCGTCATCAGCATCCTTAGAAAAACTGCGAGTAAAATAAAATTCTAAATATTAATCACCGAATCACTCCAAAATAATATTCTCTATAATACGAAATACAAAATAGAAATTTTTATGCAAATTTATGTAAAAAGAAAAAAAATTCAGAGTCTGTATAAACAATAGGGATGGTATAGTCTTAAAGAGAAATAATCCTCGCAGGTGGTATATAGCTTGTTGAGAGTTATCGTGGGAGTAGAGACCAGAATATACAAACCCCGACGAGAGGCAGTGTAAAGGAGATTAGAAATCGCGCGAAAGGGACCACACGTGCGCCAACACACTCGGTTACCATGACGACCATTGGCAACACTGTAGCGATCACAGCGCCATCCGATTTCAAGCGGGAATCCCCGATGTTTCGCGAGCGAAGAACCTGGAACGAACATAAAATCGAGGGGTTGCTCTCTCTTTCTCTCTTTTATGCTCTTAGTGTCTTTCTCTCTCTTTTTTACTCTCTTACTCTCTCGCCCTTATGGTATCTCTCTATTTTCCTCTCTTACTGTTTTGCTCTCTCTTTCTCCCTTATGGTCATTGTCTGTCTCTTTTACTCTCTTATTCTTTCTGTCTCATACTGTCCTTCTCTCTCTCGTTACTCTTGTAAGAGGGAGAGAGACAGCCTCTCTCTCTTTCTCTATCTCTCTTGTTACTCTTGTAAGAGAGAAAGAGAGAGAGGCTGCTTCTCTGCCTCTTATAAGAGTAACGAGAGAGAAAGGGACAGAAATAGGATGAGTGAGAGAAGAATAGAAATAGAATGAGCGAGAGAGGAACAGAGATATGATGAGCGAGAGAGAAACAGAAATTGGGAGCGAGAGAAATAGAGCCACAGGAGGGGGAAGATCAGGAGAGCCGTTGTCTTTTTTCGCCTGATGAAGAGAGCGGCGCGTAGTGCGGGGAACAAAAGCTGTTCGAGGGGAAGTTTCCAACTCGAGGAGAAGGGGAAGTCCCGTGTCCACGATACCACGGTCCCCAAGCGCTAGCTTTGCCTTCTTCTATATACCGAGAGTACACGAAAACAGCCCGTGCAGCGAGTGTCGTATAGTGCGTGTGGCGTCCCGTCTACTCGGCCATTGAACGCTTTTCTTCAACAGGAAGATCGTCGAAAAAAAAGTGCCAGTGAATAAATTAGTGAATTAAAAATCAGCCTGTGGGTTCACCCCCCCTAAGAAATTAAGACCCTACCAACATTGGAACATAGTGCCAAAAAAAGGACTAAACCTAAGGACCAAACATTGGGACAAAAATTAAGGAGCAGTAGGGAAAGAAATAGTGGCTAGAAATAAGGACAATAGTCTTTTTGTTGTTGTGTTGTGTGCTAAAAAAGAGACATGTTTGACGTGTTCGGCTCGGTGAAGGGCTTACTAAAGCTCGATGCAGTCTGCATTGACAACAATGTCTTCAGACTGCATTACAAAGCAACAGTTATTATTCTCATTGCCTTTTCACTTCTGGTCACATCCAGACAGTACATCGGTGATCCAATTGATTGTATCGTTGATGAAATTCCCCTAAATGTCATGGACACGTACTGCTGGATTTATTCGACATTCACAATTCCGAATCGTGTGGGAATCATTGGTAAGGATGTTGTTCATCCCGGTGTAGCATCACCGCAATCGGATCGAGACGAAGAAGTCAAATACCACAAGTACTATCAATGGGTATGCTTCACCCTCTTCTTCCAAGCGATCCTCTTCTACGTGCCTCGTTACCTATGGAAAACATGGGAAGGCGGTCGTATAAAAATGTTGGTCCTAGATCTCAATTGCCCGGTGGTGACCGACGATTGTAAATCCGAACGTCGTAAACTCCTCGTCGAATATTTCGCCACCAATCTACATACACAGAATTTTTACGCTTTTCGCTTCTTCTTGTGCGAAGTCCTCAATTTTATTAACGTCATCGGACAAATTTATTTCGTTGATTTCTTTCTCGATGGTGAATTTTCAACGTACGGTTCGGACGTTCTGAAATTCACCGAAATGGAACCTGAGCAAAGAATCGATCCAATGTCAAAGGTCTTTCCAAAAGTGACAAAATGCACCTTCCATAAATATGGTGCTTCCGGTACAGTGCAAAAATTCGACGGTCTTTGTGTATTGCCATTAAATATTGTCAATGAAAAAATTTACGTATTCCTTTGGTTTTGGTTTATCTTTCTATCAATTTTAAGTGGACTCAGTCTCACCTATAGAGCTGCCGTTGTTGCTGGACCAAAATTACGTCTTCTTTTATTGAGAGCAAGATCACGTCTCTCGCCAAAGGATCAAATTGAAATTATCTCGGAGAAATGCCAAATTGGTGATTGGTTTATTTTATATCAATTGGGTAAAAATATTGATCCACTCATCTATAAGCAACTCATCGCGGAACTTGCATCAAAACTCACCGGGAAGGAAGGATTGCAGAATGTATAAAAAAAGAAACTGTTAAGGAAAGTTTTTTTTTGGTCTATTTTAGAAAAAGGTCTTATTAAAAATAAGAATTTCTTTTTTTTTTCGGTCGTAAATTAGCAGCGTGGATTTAATGAGATTTGTTTACATGATTTGAGGAGGAGGGATTTAGGGGGAGGGAGGAAAAATGGGAATACAGAGAGGGGGGAAAAGGGGGGTAGTGATCGGAGACAAAAGGAAACGTGGCTCAAGTCAGCTGGATCCTGTGTGATATCCGATTTAACCCCTTTTTTTTGATTTGTTAATTCTTAGATGGGAATATTTTCGAATATTGAATTTATTTTGTATAGAAAAAAGAAAAGAGAGAACAAGCTGACTTTTCTTGAGGACAAAGGATTTTTAGAGGATCTTGTGTTTTGGGCATAATGATGATGATGACCAATGGTATTTCTCAGCAAAATGATCTTGAACAATTTGAGATTATGTTATTTTTAAGATATCATCTTTAAGACTTCTATGTTTGAGATCATTTTTTAATTAGATCTTTGATCTATTTTTGAGAACATCTTTGAGTTTATCTTTTGGATCATTATCATCATCATTGGTATGGTTAACTTGGGACTGATAATTACAATAATAATTGTAATAATAATTATTATCAGCATTGAGAAGAATAATCTTGCGAACATCATCTTTGAGATTATCATCATCTCTGGGTTCATCATTTATGGGTTTTAATATCTCTAGCATCATCTTTTCTAAGATCATCAAATTTAAGATTATCATCTTTGAAGTTAACAGCTCTAAAATTGTTTTGTTGGTTTTTTTGTTCAAAATCATCGTCTCTAAGATCAAATTTGAGATTGTTATCTTTAACAACAAAATTATTTTGTTGATTCTTTTGTTTAAAATCATCATCTTTAAGATTATTAAAGAGATTAGCATTTCTGAAACTGAAATCAAGTTTAACATCTTCTTGTTGGTGCTTTTCGAAATCTTTGAGATTATTCACATCATCTTTAAGATGTTTTTAAAAAAGATGATCTAAATGATTATCTTTATCTTTAAGATTATCATCCTGGAAATTATCATCATTGAGAGGATCATATCTTTAAAAAAAATCATTACCTTAATGAGATTATCAGATTATCTATTATGTTATCTATTTATTACCTTAAAGATGATAATAATGATGATTTCAAAGTTCTTAAGAAAAGCTAATAAAAAATTTCTTAAAGATGTTAATGTAACAATAAAGATCTTAATCATCATCATTCCAAGGATGATAATTTGAAGGATGATAATCTCGAAGATGATGAATCCAGAGATGATTCCAAAAATAAAAAATTCAAAGATGATCTCAAGTTTCTTGAAAACTATAAATTTGTTTTCGAATAGCAATTTTTTAATGGATGATTTTAGCAGATTTTAAAGATCATTGAAATTATCTTCGATATCTTTGAGATTATTTTTGATTTCTTTGAGATTATCTTTGAGATAAAAATTGTAGAACCATCAGAGAAAGCAACAGACTGAAACCGTTCATATCTTACAACCAAAATTATTAAAAATCCAAACTAAAAAATCTTAAAACCAAATTAAGTCACTTTATGACTTAAGATCTTAATAACAAGCACAGCTTTTCCGCAGATATCACAAATTGAGACAAAAAACGAATCAAAAGTGTTACGAAGCAACATTTTTGATTCGCTTTTTTGTCTCAATTTTGATTTCGTGGGAAAATAAATCTTTTGTCCGAAACTAAAGTTGGAATCGACGCCAACAGGTGGCGTCAATATATAATTGAGTAGATTCCTCGGTTGCCATTTTTATTTATTTTTTTTTTTTTTGGAAGAACCGCTTCCAAATGAGAACCTTCCATCCTCTTTGTATTCCCCTCCATGCATACTCATGTGTTCATCGATTATTCGCGCTCATCCATTCAACCATATGATCCATGCATGCGTCCATCTTTGGCAAAAATACATCACGATTTTTAATTTTAATTTTTTTTTCTTTTCATTTTTGGTTTTTGTCTTTTCTCATTCGATGGACGTGTAGGAGGGACTGCCCATTTGGGTTATGGACCAAAGCTTCGTAGACTCCTAATTGTGTGATAAAAAAAAATAAAAAAAAAACTCGGGGGACGGCGTTCTTCTTATAATTTCCAATTTCTCTCGTTCCATGTGTCCGAAAAAAATGCAAAAACTGTATATAGTAATAAAAATTGAATTCGGATTTTTGATCAAGTTTTTCTGAAAAACTTTTTTTTTATGTCTCGTTTTTGTTTTTTTAAATTGTCTTTTTGAAAAAATTCTTTTTAAATCCTGGTTTTTGATTTAAATTGAATTTCGTCCCTAAATTTAGTGTTGACGCTAATAATTTTTTTTTTCTAACTAAAAAGATTTGAACGACTTAATTTACAGTAAATTTATAAAAAATATATTTTTATTAAAAAAAAATACAAAAGTACAAATAATACGAAAAAAATGCAAATACAAAGAAATGATTTTATTTATGTCAGGAAAAAATGAGGTAATTTCCTCACGTCTTTGAACTCTGGACCGGTATTCATTAGCGTAGCTGATGATGAGAAATAAAAATACAGTTTAACAAGACTCTGTTGAGGTGATAAAATTTTGAAAAAAAAAAAAATGAAAAAAACGGTATTTTAAAGGAAAAAAAAAATTCTCTATGCATTTTGTGGGAAAGCTCCCGAGGTGAAAAAGCAATTGTTTGGTTATAAAAGAAGAACGACCCGATCCTGACGTTGTTAGGAATATAATAATAAATAAAGACGCCCCGCGAAGTGCGCCCTTGGATTTTTAAAAGCATTTTTTTTAAACGAAATCGCCGCAAGGGCGTTACTTTCGCCGAATTAACATTCAAAATAAAAAATAAAAAAAAGACAGTAAAATCTATAAAGAACAATCTCGTTTTCCCCCCTTTTTATTTATTTTTCATTTTTTTTTTTGCCGAAAAAAAGGGACGAGATTGCGCGCCGTCCTCCCAAGTAGCGTAACTTCTTCGTCCTGCACCAATTTTTTTTTTCGCTATTGCAATTTATACTCTAGTTAATAGGAAAAATATAAATATTATATATAAATATATTATATAAATAGAGAGAGATGAAAAAAACGAGCGAGTGAGAGAATAAGAGTGAAAAAGTGTGTAGATATCAGATATAAAGGTATATAATTATATATTATTGTATATACAATATTATATACTATATATAAATATATACCATTATATATATTTTTTATAAAACAAAATATTTTCTTCCATTCCGCACAAAATGTACGAAGGGGCCAATATTGATAAATCGTAATCATATTTTGTATAAACATTTTTTTCCCACTAATTAATTATGTGAAAAATTTATATCTGTAAGAATTTACCGGCTTTACAGGTGAATTATTTACAAAGTAAAAAAAAATTAATTAGAATAATTTTTCTAGTTAATTTTAAAATATAACTGTCGTCTATAAATTAATGACTATTCGCTATAGTGATTTTTAATAAATAAAATATTGCTCTCAACACTGCATTCTAAAAATAATAATTGCTAAATAATTATTAATTATTAATTGTCACAATTAAAAAAATTAATAAAATTAATGAAATTAATAAATTATCAATTACAATGAGTAAGAAGTAATTATTAATCACAAAATATTAAGAAGTAATTGAACGCTCCAATGCAACAACTCGTTCGACGCCCAAAAATTTATCGAGCGTCGAACGAGCGCTCATTGTTAATTACAATAAATAATAAATAATTATTACTCTCGTGATAATTAATGAACAATTATTAATTGTATTAATTAGTAAATAATTATTAATTATATTAATTAATAAACAATTATTAATTGCAATAATTAATAGACAATTTTAATTATATTAATTGACAAATATTATTAATTGTAATAATTAATAATTGAGATAATTATTAATGATTGGTAAATATTAATTGTAATAATTAATGGACAATTATTAATTACAGTAATTGATAAATATTATTAATTGTGATAATTAATGGATAATTATTAATTATAGTAATTAGTAATTAGTAATTAGCAAATATTATTAATTGCAATAATTAGTAATTAATATTGAATAATTATTAATTTTGCAATAAATATAATAAATTATAGTTATGTATAATTATGATTATAATAATTTGTAATATAGAATTATAATATTATGATAATGATAATAATATAATATTATGATAAAACTATTAATTTATAGTATGCAAGTTATAATAATTAATAATTATAATCAAATTTTCATCGATTTATTATTATATGTCATTATTTGCGCAAGAAACTAGCAAAAAAGTGCTTTTTGGGAGAAAATTCCTTCATTAAATAAAAAAAAACGAGCTTCTTTAGAGTTTAACTTAAATCTTCAATTCGAGAAGATTTCTTCTAATTTTTTTTTTAGCAACAATCTTATTCAATGTATAATTCTAATAGTTCTTAGTCATGATTAATTCAATTTTTGTAATAATAAAAAAAAATCATGAATAGATTCTGCGAATTGTATTTTAAGTTTTGTGAAATTTTCACGACTGATTCCTTTCCTTTGATTTTTTTTTTGTAGGGAAAAAAATTCTACTTTTGCGAATTTTTTTTATTATGGAAAAGAAAAATTCTACTTTTGTGAATTTTTTTTATTTAGAGAAAAAAAATTCTACTTTGGAGAATTTTTTCTAATGTAGAGAAAAAAAATTCTTCTTTGGGGAATTTTCTTTACATGGAAAAGAAAAATTCTACTTTTGACGAATTTTTTCTGACGTAGAAAATAGGAATTTTTTTTTTTTAATACAAAAAAGAAAAATTCTATTTTGATGAATTTTTTTTCTATTTTTGTGTAGACGATATTTTATTATAAATATTTAATTAAAAATAAAAAGAAAAATACTTTTAACATTAAAGCGAAAGGAATTCGTGAATTTTTCAAGTTCGAGAAAGCAATTTGTGTTTATAGATTATTAGAAAGTAGGAGAAGTGAACTTAGAAAGACAATAAAAATAAAAGTACGCTATACTTTTATTTTATATGAATTAATTTGAATGTGTCACTATTATGAATTATTATCATATCTTTCCCTGAAAATTGATGCTCAAAGTAAGACTGCCAATTTGCATACTCGCGGTTTTTTTTTCTACAATAATTTTTTTCTCTCTCTCTTTTATTTCTTTTCTCTTTTTGATACAAACGTACAGAGTCGATTTTTTATTACAACAATTAGACTATTATTATAATTATTATTTATTATTATTACAATATATTCGAATTTCTTAAACTAATTAATTTCTAATTATTAATTTTTAATTGTCAATTTTTAATTAAGAAAAAAAATTGTCTGGAAAAAAATAATGTTGAGGATAAAAGTAGAAAATTTGTCTATTTTTATTATTTTTAACAATTTTTTGTACATTCCAGAAACTAAAACACGACGAGGTGCATAATAAATATCTTTTCTACTCGTCGTCCTCGAAACTGAGAAATAAGGGTCAAGCTAAAAAAAAAAAAGCATCGAGACTCGTTCGCGATTGTTTTATTTTAACTTTTATACTTTGTTTCGAATTTTACTACTGCTTAGAGAATAAAAAATCTATACTGGACGTTATTTATGCGTTTCTTTCAACTTTATTGTTTGAAAAGAGTGAGAGAGAGAAAAAAAATCAAGAGAGAGAGAGAGAAAGAAATTTTTTCCAACTGTGCAACAGAAGCTAAATTAGGAGCGATAAATAAATTAAGTCTTAGCTGTATTCTATAAGTTCCTTTTTTTCTAAAAAAAAGAAACAAGCGAGAAAAGTGCCTGTCCTTTTTTATTTTCGAGAAATCCTCGTCATTTGCAAATAATAATTCTCGTTGATTAATTTTTATTCACTTTTGAGTCGAAAATATTCGAAAATATTCCAGAAATTTTTTGATGAAATTAGAAAACAAATTTCAATTGAATTATTTATATCAAGTTTTTAATTTAATTTAATATTTAATTTAATTTAATTTTTAATTTCATTTAATTTCGTTAAAGTTCATTCCATTTACTGACGTTTAATTTCTATTAATTTATTTAATTTTAATTAATAGTTTAATTAATATTTTTAAAGGAATTTTAAAGAAAATATTTTATCTGCAAAAAGGTATTAAATTAAAAAAACATATCAAACAAAAAAATATGTTAATTGAAAAATTTAGTAATTGCAAAAACAGTAATTGAGTAAATATTTTATTTAAGATAATATATTAATTACAAATATATTGAAAAAATATAATGATTCGAAAAATAAATTAATTGAAAAAATATATTGATTCGAAAAATATAATAATTAAAAAAATAATAATTGAACATTTTAATTGAAAAAAAATACTATTCGAAAATATTGTAATTGAAAATATATTAATTGAATAAATATTTTAATTGAAAAAATATTATTTGATAATATTTGTAATTGAATGTATATTAATTGAAAAAATATAAATTGAATAATATTTTGATTGAAAAAATATTTGAAAATATTTTAATTGAAAAAATATTATTTGATAATATTTTAATTTGAAAACGAAAGTAATTGAAAACCAGAAATAATTAAAAAATACAGCAGTGGAAAAAATATTTTAATTGAAAATAAATACAGAAGTGATAAAAATATTTTTTCAAAAAATATATTAATTGAAAAACGAAATTAATTGAAAAACTGCAGTAGTGAAAAAAAAATATTAATTAAGAAAATATATTAATTGAAAAACGAAATTAATTGGAAAAATCCACTAGCAAGAAGAATATTAATTAAATTAACTATTAATCTAAAAATAATTTAATTCAAAAGCGAAAAAAAATTAATTAAAAAGAAATTGAATACGAAAAAGATTTTTTTAAAAATAGAATAGAAAAAAATTTTAAATAAAATAATATTAAAAATACTTTTTGGAGAAATATTAAAAATACTTTTTAGATAAATATTAAATAATATTTTTTGAAGAAAACTAAAAAAATGAAACATTAGCGGAAAAAAATAAAATAAAAATTAATTAGTCTACAAATCACGAGAAATCAACGGTTTTGTTTTAAACCGAGAGATAAGAAAATTGCAGATTGCGGCGATTAAATCGTATAACAATATAATATATATATATATGCGTTCAGCAGAAAGTGATAGACAATGACAATACAACTATTTTTGTAAAACTTTTTTACAACTATTAAATTGCTGAATTAAATAAAAAAAAAATTTTTGCTATCATTATTTTGCATATTTGCAATTTTATACAATTGTTAAAAAGTGATTTATAACAATAAACCATATCAGCACTGTATTAAATACGAAAAAAAAATATATTTCACTCCTTTCACTTGAGGAGAGCGAACTCGAGCGTAAATCAGGATAATTATATTGTTTTCGTGTTTCTTAATAAATATTATTTTTTTTATTAGCGAAATAAATATATTATACCTGGAGTTTCGCACCCTTGAGACGAAAGGTGTGGTGATTTTTTGCAAGAGAGAGAAAGAGAGAGAGAGAGAGAGAGAGAGAGAGAGAGAGAGAGAGAGAGAGGAGAGAATGTAAGAGAGAAAAAAAATGTCAAAAAAATAACAACTTAATTTTATTTATTTATTTTATTTATTTCAATAAAATAAATAAACAATTTTAAAAAAAAATGGTAAAAAATTGAAAAAATTGTACTAAAAATTGATAAAGCGACGAAATTTGTCAACGAAAAAAGAAATTTTCGACTGTTAAAAAAAATTTTTTTTCTTGTTAAAAAAAAATGTGCAAAAAATTGCGTCAGTTATGTAATTTAATGTATAAGGTTTATTGCTTTTTTTAGTACAAAATGCGCAAGGTTGTATTGTATTGAAAATTAACATCTAACGAGATGTTAATTATTTTTTAAATATGAGAATTATTGTTTAATCTTTCTTGCTTTTGTCATATAGTTTCGACGAACATTTATATAGTTACAATTATTAACAATTTTTTATTATTATTATTATTATTATTTTTTTTTGCACATTCCGTCGAGTACATTGTTTAATAGGAACAGTATATACACGAGTGCGAAGAATTTAAAGGGAATGAGAAAGAGTGAGATTTAGCATT